AAATTATGACTCATCAAACACTCTTTGGTTATACATGGATTCGAACTCGGTCTCTCAAAATCGACAAGTAACGATGTTGCTAGTCAGTTACTCGATACTGGTACTAAGGGCAGGTTTCAGGTCAAAGCAGAGTAGTTGTCGATCACAAAAGGCTTCCTGTCATATGGACGATCACGATCTAAGAGGTTATGTAGAAAATGTTCAATTGACACTTTTCTAAAGGATAATTTCTTACAGAAACATTCCCTTCTATGGAGATAATGTTCGAGATAATGCAGAAAGGCCAAGACTAAAAGAACAGACATTTCAGGATACCTAAGCTTGTCAGTTTTACGTACTGGCTTAAAGATAAATCATGAACAGATTTGGTCGGACATGTCTACTACTTCGGCGCCCTTACCTCGTTGGGAAGAGCTTGGTGATACAAGCAGTTGTGAAGCCCTCTTCTACCAAACCAAAAGCGGCTCGAAGACCCGCTCCGCCAGCACCAACAACGATCGCATCGTATTCGTGGTCGACTACCTGTAATTTTAGGGCGCCAAATCAGTAAACTCACAATTGCAGCTATCCAAATGGTTATAATTTTTGTTCCACATATAAAAGAATAACTTCATTCACACAGCTTGTGTTCGCTACAAATATGGTTCATAATCCGTGATTAAATTTAGATGAAGCTTGGCCAAAAAGATGTACAAAATGAATCGAAAAGCTGGTCATATTAAGCCCCAATTAGTTTCCTCTCTCAATAGAAACGCGTAGCTATAGTCAGCTGCATCAATCGCCAACAAATGTCGTATTTCAGACACTACTGAAGTTAAATCTTTGTGTCAATTTTTACACTCACTACCGCATTAACATAGCCCTCCAACCCAACACATATATTCTGCTCTATTAGATTAATGTGTTTAATTAAGGAACCTAACTCAAGATTGTCCATGAATAAGGTCATTGAACCGGTTGTAGGCAGACACCTTATATACTGAAATTATATTCCCATCATATTCATTACTGTATGATCAAATTGAGGCGATATAGGTAATAGAATTAGCACACTGAGTGAATTACATACTGGCATATTGAATGTCTGGTATGACAGACCAGGCCAACTTATAATAGACAAAAAGAAAAATGCAACTCGACGGTTGCTTAGAGTAAATTGCGCAATTATTTTGATAGGACAAAAGTACCAAATCTTTTAAAATCCTAAAGAAGTATTTTTCTCATTTTTGTTGTCAATCAACATATGTCAAAGCACAATAATTTGTAAAATTTAGAAATATACCTACGAATATTTTTACTTCAGAATTATTTGTACCGTAATACACTATCTAGGGTACTAAAGAGTGTTTTTAAGTAACTCTAAAATATCTTAACTCAGAAGTTCTGCAACATTCTTACTTACTTAATACCCCAGTTGCTAACAGGAAAATTTTTTGTTACATATTTGACCAATATTTAAAGATTTACTAATATGTTATGACAACGAACATTTTACTAACGGATACACAACTCTATCGAACAAAGTATTACATCTTCATTGTTGTTACGTTTGATTGTTTTACATTATCTACTCCTAAGTATACTACTGGTACATGTAAATAAAATAGGTCTTGATTATTTAGTTTTTTTTAGTAATAAAACTAATGACGGCTAATATTCTAATAAAACTAATTTTGTGTTAAATACACTAGGTAGTAACCATTCACCCGATATTCTTTTAAAATACCATGCGCTTCAAACTAACTTCTTATATAATGCTACTTCTTTCATATGGAACATTAAAGTATGAACAAAGTCAGAAAAAAATTCGTTTATTTCAGATTTACTGGTAAATAGACTTTTGGCATGATGGTTGTGTTATCATAACCTCTGCTAATTTTTTTCTCTAAACGCGTTCAGTTTTAGGGCTTTTAACCAACCCCATGTACAAAACTTAGTACCCCCCCCCCCCCCCCCCCATGTACTGATCAAGTCTGGCAGCATCTGGTTTTTTCCTAAATCTAAGAGCTGTACTACAGCAAATCGGAAGTAGACGTTCCGTTGCACTTTAACGAAGCACGCAAACGTCGTGAGTTGAGAGCGATAAATAATAAAATTCGATTACCGATTAAGCAGTCAAATTTTATTATTAATTCTTATCTTTCCGTCAAAAAGGAGCCCAGACGTAACAACTTTAGTCCATCGAGGCTCTGCAACGTGACTGTGTAAGAGCGATAAACTTAGTAAGATGCTTATGCAGCTTCAGGCCGTCATAGTTGACAATTTGCTATTTTTATTTATAAACTGTTGAAACTTTGGTACTTCTCCTTAAAGCAATGCAGTAGCAATGCCACTGTTATAAAGGCGTCTCACAGCTTTAATGTAAAAAATCTTCTTGGGCTGTAATAGATGTATTAATGAACATCCGGTTATTCTACGCAAACATCGGTTAAGAACATTCTTTTAGCAAAGCCACGGCGTTCCTCTATTTCGTCGTGTAGCCAAGCGACACCAACTACCCTAAATTACGAAAAAGGATTGATCTTGCGTATTCAATAAACCAATAATGATAAGAATCTTATTCGTGCAACAAATTTGAACTTATCATGGGAGCTAGTGTAACTGTTATAGTGGATGGTCATTTCAATGGGAGTCCTCCACAGATTTTATTTATTATTTTAGAGTTCTTCGTTATCTATCATCTAGCCCACAACATCGCCCAGTACGAATTTTCACAGGTTAGAACCACTGAAGAATATAACATTTCGTGTAAAAAAAAATTCCCAATACAAGTTTACAATTTGTCTGTTTTACAATTTGTCTGTACATTTTCTTCTGTATATACATACACCGTTGTTATTTACGTGCATAATCGTGTTTCTAGAATGCGGTTTCTATATAACCATACTATAATCGTCAAACAGGCAGACCGCTTGGAAAGTGATACCGCTTGCTATTGCCAGACCTGTTTACATGGCGATATCTCTGGTCTTAAAAAGCCAACTACAAGTTAAGAGAAATTTTCACTTTCCAACTACAGCCAATGAGTAGAGGTACCGGCTTATGGCTCGTTCGAATGCCTGGAACAAATGCACAGACGGGCCTGCTATTTGGAGCAGGCAATTGCATTCGTGTCAGAGTGGGGTTGTAAGTTAATCTAATTTCTACAACCACTGACAGAAATCACTTCACTCTTCGAATGTAGTGTTACTCTATTTAACACACCTTATAACCCTTAATATTGGCTTTGTTGTTGAGCGCGGATGAAGCGGAGAGGCCCCTGGTAATCTGCGGAGCCCGCAAGCCGGTGGACCGCAATGCCCTCAGCAAGGTCGCCATACCGCCTACCGTCTAAGCAGCAGAATGAGCAAGAAAACAAACAATATAATACGACTTTAAATAATTAGTCTTGTAACAGAGAATTTTTCCACTACAACAGACACACTTAGCAAGACTAATCTAGACAGAATATAGAACATAATGGCTACTTATGCTCCTTAAAGACATATTAAAAAATGGCTATAGACCATACCACGATACAAACTTTGCACACGTACACCGGAGTAGCTAGCAAATATTATCGGCCAGTCGGCCTATTCTTCCAGTAGAGCAGGCTGTTCAGACTACCGCACAATTTTCTGTTGGGCACTTTACTTGCCCGCTGGTTGACCACAATAAACTAGCTGACATATCGCTCCGCGGCAGACGCATCCCGCGTAATTTGAAATTTACTAGAAGAGAACAGGGTATAAAGCATGGAACAATTGCGGGAGAAACGAGTACGGCTCTCATCGATAAATATTAATTAGACTATGAAGATAAATTGTTCGAAACATATAAATGCGCCCATTTACTGTATTTGTAGGCAAATATTTCATGGCCAAGCCTATCCTTAGTTAGAATGTCAAAGATCGTCGATGCCCAGCCCGCTGTTGTGTTGCTTACGGTTTCGTCATTGTTTTTTGGAGTGGACGCTCAATAAATTTACTGAAAAATGGCCTACACAAGCACGAGTTAAGAGAAAAAATATGGGAAAATCGTGCACCTGATTGACTACAATGGAAATCTGCTTCGGAATCGTTGGCGATAGAACTTAACACTAAAACAATTAAGTTAAGTAATTTCAAATTTTTGTTGAATTTGCCTAAGTTTAATTTGTTGTTAGTTTCCTAAGTTGCTTGACTGTTATGGAGCACAAAGGTATATTTCACACACTATGTATTTTTAAGCTGTAATCTACAATGATTTAACAAATGCCTTAAATCGTTTGTTGTAAGTTGGCCTCTTTCACGTCTTCCGTATTGTCTTCAAACATTTTTAGCAAAAAACTGATTCGTCGCGTGAATGTAATAGTAAAAGGAATTTGAAAGGCAACTGCCATACAATAAAAGCATCTTTGTTAATTATTCCAAAGGGCGTCAATAAAAGTTTTGCACAACTAATAAAATTCTAAAAACGTTTGTGATAGAGAGGTATCATATTTACTTACAGAGAAGCCAAAAGCACAACATGCTCTAGAAACTCCTCCAATAAAGAGACTTGGTGGAGCACCGCTGAATGGTTATAACAAGGTAAAACATCTAACAAATCAACCAGTGAATAGTGATTGAAAATATGGGCACGGGTACCATATACAAGAAACACTGAAGAGACGTGCAAATCGATCGGTGCATTTTATTGGGTCCGAGTACCACGTATTTGTCTGCTAACCATGAGCGCACGTGATGGTAATGAAGTATCTAACGGCGACACCGGACGTAAAACACGAGCCATAGAGAGGATTGCGAATGAATAATGCGTCAGAGATGCTAAGCTTTTTACAAAAAAAATTCTAATTTACACTGTGTTATCTTATTACGGTTATCTATACAATATTGTTTAAGATAAAAGGCTGTTACACATATTTATCGCTCTGGTGAACAAAATGAAACGTTGAAGCAGCACAAGTAATCTTAATTCATTCCAAATCACATATGGTATCAACGCATTTTGTACTTGCAGATTTGCGAGTGCGGTTAAGGTTAGCAATTACAATTAAATGTCTATGATTTACAAGAGCCTTTGCTTGTAGTGCAATATTGTAAGTCAAGGGGTATTATATATTTGAGTTTCAACATGCTACTAGTACAGAACAGTCAACGAAACAATCTCAAAGTATACCTAAAGACGGTTTTTGTTTAGTATCGTAAAGTGGCGGCATAATTAGCAAGTCTGATGATATCCTTCGACAGTTAATATTTATCAATATGCTCCAAGAAAGCTGGCTCATTTGATGTAAATACGTAAATATAGAATTGTTAAATTGGATCGGATAAAGATAGTTTAACTGGTACTCTTTATTTGCTTGTGTATTTATTTTGTTCCAAAAGGAAACTCAAGACTAGACAATTGAATTTAGTTGCTACATATTTAGCGATTAATATTCAGCTATCTTAAAAAGTTATGGAACACAGAAATACATCGATGAGCAGCGAGATTTTAAGCTATTATTATATAATCATTATAACACATTAGTCTTAGAGTTGCTCTAGGGTTCCAAGTCTAAGTAGGGTGATCAGTCTCCTCAATGGCGTATCTAAGTATCGTTTAAGGCTGCATGATGTGGCGTCTCTCGGTTTTCAACGTGGACAAGAGTTCCGATTTTGCGCTACCCTGTCGTCAATGCTAAGATCTCACTGCCTTTCGTTTACCTACACACATTTACACTTCAAAAAAAAGCCCAGATTTATACAATATTATGTAAAATCGCAGTCTAAATATGTTCAGATCAGACAAATCGTAGCTATCAATAGTAAAAGAACATTGAGTTTAATAAACAAACTAGATATGACGAGCTAATTTGCATTCTCCGGCTGACTTTTAGTTTTCGAGGGGCCGAAACATCTCGTATAACTCTGCCATGGCTGGCGTTATAGCACTGTAATAAATTGATATGGTGTACCCGTGTTACGGGAGAATGAGTCGTTTCTACCCAAGACATGGGTGATTTTAATATAAGATAAGAGGGCCTTCCTCAAGCATGATGTAGAGACCGAGTTCGAATCCATGTATAATCAAAGAGTGTTTGATGGGTCATAATTTGAGAGGATGAGTCGTTTCTATCCAAGACTTGGGTGGTTTTAATATAAGGTAAGAGGGCCTTCCTCAAGCATGATATAAAAATGTAACTTATAAAACAGATTACGCAGTTTGAGTATAACTGATATATGGCCAGACCAATAGTCAATGCTGGATACTTGTTACTGTTACAGGTCTCATACCGTAGCAGCTCAGGGAGGTATTAACGCTGCACTGGGCAATATGGAACCTGACAATTGGGTATGGCACATGTACGACACTGTAAAAGGTTCCGACTGGTTAGGCGATCAAGACGCTATCCACTACATGACCAAGGTGAAGTAGGCTTTCCGCGCAGTGGACAGTGTTTGTTAAGGAGTCGGGACTTGTTATTCATATTTATATCATAACACATTATTAATAAATAAGTTATAAATATTCATACAAACACCCAACTTTTCTGGGACACTGTCTGCTTTCAGCCTTAAAATGAACTAATTTTATTCCGTTTATGTGAATTTCTAGTACAATGCAGTACATTCTGTTTGGGGACTGCTTCGAAACAAGCGACCTGATGCATTAATAGTATTTTTGCCATTTTCATTATATGCATACTACAGTACTTGATCATAATATAATTACCAAGGATAATGTTAATTACAGGAAGCACCAGCAGCTGTCATTGAACTAGAGAACTACGGCATGCCGTTCAGTAGAACACCAGAAGGAAAAATTTACCAGAGGGCATTTGGAGGGCAGAGCTATAACTTCGGCAAGGGGGGGCAAGCTCACAGATGCTGCGCAGTGGCTGATCGAACTGGCAAGTTTTTATTTTTAATTTCTTATTGAAATGTCATATATAATATATATGCGTTTCGTCTACATTTTGTTTTGTTGTTTGTCATTTTGTGCTGAGTTATTGATCATAATGGTTACTTGTTTCATTTGTAATGCTACTCACTAATTGTTATCAGCGTTAAGTGTTGTTATTTAATTTAAGATAGTAACGTTTTATTGCGTCAGCGAGTCAATAATTTGATCAGTTGTTTTTTTGCGCGACTAGGCAAAATTATCCTAATAACAAGCAGCTGATTTCTCTCCCTCCTCTAGAACTAATAATACTATGTTAATATTATTTACCGCTCTTTATTGTAAATCATCCACTTTCAACAGAATAACTTGAAAGGTATGGTTAATATGGGTATAAAAAACTGGGTTATCAGTACCAATTGTCGGTCAAAATAGCGTAAAGAGGGATATCAGACTTTCATAACTATTATTTATAGCACCTCACGTATAATTTACAATGTTCCAACGCGAATTTATAATAATAGTTAAAATATTTTAGAATAACGATTGCAAAGCTTGCGCAGAGAAGGTCGATGAAAATTTGATTCAATTTTTTGCTTACTGAAGCATATATTAAATAATTTTTATATTACTCTACAATTTATCTTTATTACATTAGCACGTAAAACTAATTTTCACTGAATATTTTTCTTGGTAGATTAACATACATAACGCGTATGCTAACAACTATGCTTTTTCTTAGCGTTTGTATTGCTTCTGTGGTCATGGGGTGGGACTAATAGTCCCAATTATAGAACCACAAAAAATAGCATCGTTGGTTGTGCTGCGGAATGACATTGTTGTCCTGGTATTTTCTACTGACGAATGGCCGAAAATTCGTTATTGCTTTTGGTCATGGTTTATTTTTATGAGATGATACGTTTTTTAAATAATTATAATCTTCTTATATTCCTTTTATGTCGCAAATGTTGCGCTTATATGTTTATTTCTGCTGCTAACAAATGACACTGTCGTTTTTCTGTATGAACTATTCTACAGTTTTGTATTCTAACATAACTGATTTTTTACTAGTCAGCTAGGTAGCGGACAAACTTGGTTTTGTAAAATGTTGGCATCAAATCTGAAATCAGTGTGCTTAGTATTACGTGCTGTTCAAGAAGTTTATGCCTTTACTGCGTTGATTGTTGCCAATGCTTCAGAGTAAGACTGCTGATCAGCCTTTTCCTATAGAGACCGTTTCATTTAAGGAGCAGGTCGACAAATAAGCGATTTCACATTTGAAGACTTATTTTACATGGTCGCAGTCTTCCAACGTGAATATAACGTAGGATATAAGCATATTCTTGCGATGATGTTAAACGACAGAGTTCCTAAGAAATCTAGAAAAGAGCTACAATGAATGTTCTCAGACGAAAGACCCAAATGAACGTTTAAGTCGTATCTTCATTGTATACATGCCGCAAAATGACAAAAGCCCTCCTTTAATAGAAAATTAGTTAGTGTCAATGCCATTACAGTTTCCTGAAGCTAATTATGCTAATAATAATGATAACTCTCCTATTTTAATGTGTTCGAACACCCTAGGTCATTCCTTGTTACACACATTGTATGGTAGGTCGTTAGCTTTCGAGTGTAACTTCTTTATCGAGTACTTCGCAATGGATCTAATCATGGAAAACGGCGTTTGCAAGGGTGTTACCGCTCTGTGCCTTGAGGATGGCACCTTACATCGATTCAACGCTAACAACACTGTTCTTGCAACCGGCGGTTACGGACGGTAAAATATGTCAATTTTCTATCGTATTTGAATTTGTGCATGTACAGTGTTTGTTTGTTATTTCAAGAACATCATAAATGAGATTATAGACCCGATCTCCACAACACCTTTGCTGATATTGTACTTAAAGGGCGTACTTTTCGTGTACATCTGCTCATACGTGCACGGGCGACGGAAACGCCATGGCCACACGCGCTGGACTTCCTGGCCAGGACCTTGAATTTATTCAGTTCCATCCCACCGGAATTTACGGAGCTGGGTGCCTCATTACAGAAGGTTGTCGTGGGGAAGGAGGCAAGTATATATATATATCACGCAATATATCGAGTAGTGTTCAGTGAATGTAAGCAAAAGAACGACGTTTAGTACATTATAGTTCTTAAGAAAAATAGTGCGATAATAAACGGTTAAAATCATGTGAACTAAAGCAATCTCTCCCTCTAAAACTGATTAAATCCGGGAAAAATATAGGTATCCTGATTAACTCGGAAGGCGAACGTTTCATGGAGCGCTACGCGCCAGTTGCCAAGGATTTGGCTTCTCGTGACGTTGTCTCACGTGCCATCACAATCGAAATCCGCGAAGGACGTGGAGTCGGGCCAGAGAAAGATCACGTCTTTCTTCAGGTGAATGAAATACATATTTTGTAGTAAATACCGAAGTTACATATTTCATATATTGTTATATATTGCTCATTCAAGTATTTCAAGGATCCTAATGTAATAACCTAGGTTATCATTTTGTTAACAGTTTGATTTAAATAAACCAATTCCGTGTTATTATTTTGCGTAATAGCTTCACCATCTACCACCAGAGCAGTTGGCCACTCGACTACCGGGAATCTCCGAAACGGCAATGGTGTTTGCGGGTGTCGATGTCAATAAGGAACCCATTCCAATCCTTCCAACTGTCCATTACAACATGGGCGGCGTTCCGACGAATTATAAAGGTCAGGTACTGGACATCACCCCACAAGGTCAGGATAAGGTCGTTCCCGGTTTGTATGCCGCAGGTGAGGTTGCGTGTGCATCTGTACACGGAGCCAATCGACTAGGGGCTAATTCACTCCTTGACATTGTCGTTTTTGGACGCGCATGTGCCAAGACCATCAAAGAAACCACGAAACCTGGCCAGAAACCCCTTCCGCTTAAGGAAAATGATGGTGAACAATCTATCGACAACATCGACAAAGTAAGTTGAGTCGATTGAGTTGATTGGTTGTCTAATAGGCGGCTTAAGAGTTACAACTGTAAAAAAACAGTACTCTAAAATATTTGTAAGAGATTTATACTTACCCCTAGGCCTAGATCGACATATGACACTTGTGGATTGTTGTGTTTTCGACAGGTTCGCCACAACAACGGTAGCATCAATGTGGCAGATCTTCGTCTAAAAATGCAGCGAACGATGCAAAATCATGCTGCTGTGTTCCGTACCGGGGAACTGTTGCAGGAGGGCTGCCGCATAATGGATTCACTCTATAACCAGCTCAAGGATGTCAAGGTTCACGACAAGAGCATGATTTGGAATAGCGATTTGATCGAGGCCCTTGAACTGCAGAATTTGATGTTATGTGCGCAGCAGTCGATTGTCAGTGCAGAGGCCCGAAAAGAGTCTCGTGGCGCACACGCTCGTGAGGATTTCAAGGTTAACTGCTTCTGGGCTAATAATTTTGCACGTTTATTTCGAAATAGAAACATAATGTGATATCATGTTCTAGCATAAGAGTTGTTTGAGTACAGATGGCTGCAGGTTAGGTGGTACAAAAAATCAGTTTTTATTTTCTTATACGTTTCAACAAAAATTTGTGGAAATTTCCTTCATTTGTTTTCGGAGTAGGTCGCGAGAAAAGATTATTTTCGCGCTACTGAAGAAAGACTGTCATTTACTTCTTGATAATGTTTACAGGTTCGCATCGATGAGTTCGATTATGCCAAGCCACTTGATGGCCAGCAGCCTCTACCCGCTGAGCAGCATTGGCGAAAACATACACTTTCGTACGTGAATGTGGATACAGGCAAAGTGACCCTCAAGTATCGACCTGTTATTGACAGAACAATGGACCAGAAGGAATGCAAAACAGTGCCTCCAGCCGTTCGCGTCTATTAAACTAGCATTAAACCTATACTAGGAGCAGCCAAACCGTAATCAGTTACGCCGCAACGAGTGTGTCAACGGTCGCCGCTTATTTTGGGACGATCATAGTGGCAAACACTATTTGTTTACGTGTTTCATTTATTTGTTCTTATTTACTCTTCACTCGATAGGCGTTTAATTAATTACGAGGCAGAGCGGAGAACCGAGATGAATGGTGAATATGATGTAAAGGTTAAAAAATCACCCCGATAGTCTCAGAAGAGGGTTGGCACAGATCGGACTGCATCGGCCGCGGTATTTTATGATTTATCATTCATTTTCTATAGGTCCTCAGCCGATGTACACTTATGTGGCACGATTAGCAATTTTATGGGGAAAATTCGTTCTTAAATAGTAGAGCTACACTATCAGAGTCAGAGGGAAAGAAGATAAGGAATGATGATATGAAGGCGACCAAATGGAAAATAAAAAACAAAATCAAGGTAAAAAACAAAATCAAGGTCGCTCTGAACGGCTGCATGTGTATCTGTATTTAGAAACGTAACAGATCGACGTAACGTCTTTTCTGTAAACGAAATGTTTACCAAAATGCACGAAGAATAACGGCTCTCCGGCTTGATATTGCAGCAAATAAGGGAGATATGATATTGGCAGTAATTTATCTGCCTTAGAAGTGCAAGCATGAATGAATGTGATTAAAATTGAAGTTGAGAAGACGAACGTCTTCTCATAATACGTAGTAATTGTAGGATAGATCAATAATAGTAATCAATTAATTTAATTCAAAACAAATAAAAGCAATGATAGGCCATGCAAGTATACAAGTACCAGCAAGCGGCAAGAAATGTGTTCAGTTTTCGGGGAACCGAAAACAACGAAACAGTGGTCACGAAGAGTGCATATAGGAAGATAAATAAAACAACCACCGTCTCATCACATTAAATGTAGATTTTGAGCTTTACGGCATGAAAAATTAATACATCATGAATTCATACTGGCTGGATGTTCGATTTGTTTTTTAGCTATTGCATCATTTGCCTCACAACACTAGATATATCATATAATATAGAAAAAAAAACATTGCTTGACTGTAGAATTCCTCGGAGAAATTGGCGATATCATTTACAGTTTATGACAGTTCTATGAGTTATACAACAGAAATTGTTTTCGAACGTGGTGCAGAAGCAACCTCTCCACTAGTAACCCTCTCCAAGAGACGTTCGAATAGATATACTGGAACATGTCTGGTTGGTATATGGACTTAAGTGTACCAGTATATAATAAAGAGACTTCGTGTTTCCCTTATGCAACTCGTATGAGAGAAATAGGAAAGACAATATTTAGAAAACCATCCTCTTATAAAATGTAATTTTACTTTTCAAATATAAGCAGTCGATCTCGTGCATTGTTCGCTTGTGCAAAAGATATGACGCTAGTCATGTTGGTGTCCTGCCTAGAATCTGAAATATGCATTTTGCAGGATTCGAAGTTTACCCTTGAACACTGCGCAGTAAATGCCTCTAGATTACTCTAGATTTAGTTTTTGGGTTGGCAAATCGTTTGAGTATTCGACTGACACGAACGTATAAAGAGATTAAGGACCAGTCCAGCATTATTTATTATTGCGTGTAGGTTGCCGAAATTCACTTCTATGTGAAGTCTGGCCCTATTTGTTTAGCGTAACGGTACTAATTTCGTTAGGCTTAAACCACGTTTCCGGAGTTATGAACATAACTAATAAGCTAAAGCGAAGAGAATTTGAACAAATTAATTCTCTTCGCTTTAGCTTTTTTACTTTTAAACGCATCAGCTGTGGAAGTATATTACAAGAACATTTGTAAAATGCATTTCCTATTTAGTTTTAATCGTAGTCAAAATTACCAGAACTGGGATCTCAGCGTTTATACTATTGCTAATCGATCTTCTTGAGCAGTTGGATCAAACCGATATAAATATTACTTGTAATTTTTTGGTAAAAATTAAAAATTGCTTGTAAGTTTTTAAATTATCGTAGAGCTAATCAAATTAAACTATCAGTCGATAGCAATAGCTCCATGCATTTCAGGAAGTGATTGGCTGAATTTGGTTCATTATTTACAAGACACTCTACCAAAAGCTTCTATAAAACTTATTACGTTATAATGCCAATAGAACAAGTTTCAAATTACTTTTTTTTCAATTTTCTATATATTCTTCTGCTATGAAGCAAATAGTCAGTAATTATCTAAAATAATCTAAAAAAAATTAAACAATCTAAAGGGAAGCTATTATAGAGAATATAACCTTGCGACGTCTTCCGGTGAGGTTTGTTTTACAAATTACGCGAACCTACGTGTGCTCTTATAAAGACTATATTTTAATTTGAAATCATTTTCCGTCTAGTGCAAAGAAAAGCATTAATTACTATTATACTAGTTGTGACTTTTATCGTAACTATTTGCCTACAATTATTACACACGACATGTTCCCTGTTTAAAACGCAAGTCTACAAAATTTATAAGGAGGTGATTCTGTCACTATATAAAGATTAGATTTGAAGTTTTATGAGGCATTTCAAGAATTATTTTTTTCTAGTATTAGTAAATACTTTTCGAGAGTAACAGGGGTAGGGATTTTTAAATTGGGATGTTCTTACTCAGATAATTAGATTACACACAACCATAGTAGATTTTCTCAGAACAGAAAGCCAGCCTGGAAGCAACGATATTATGCCAAATATCAAGGGTATAAGACTTCACGGCGGAGAATCGCGCCTAGACTGTCGCAAACAGGCACCCAGAAATCGAGTTCTTCCGTAAAGTATTTTTCCTCCGAACACAATATAATGCTAACAATCTTCGGCTTGTAAATCGTAAACACCCGTCTGTGCGGATCTCATTTTCGGGGTGTTGCTTTGATGAAAAGAATGCGTATATAAAAGTTATTGCACCAACGGCGCCCGGTGGTACACTAACCTGTATTCCCTCATTTCTACACAGCGAAGATGTTTTAGCGCCATTTCGGGATTCGCGCATTTGTTTATCAACAGTCGCCATCGTCTTCTAACAGGTACGTTACTAACGCTACGAAATGCGTTGTTTTGTTTCAATTTTATGGATGTTCTATATGATTACCTATTGTATTAATGTTTGACGGTGGGCTATTGAAACCATCCTTGTAATTGTCGCTGAGTTTAAGAGTTGTTGGGTCTTCCCGTCGATTTGGTAGAGCTGTTGAATCTGATGATCTAAGCGGCAGTCACGATGGCTGGTCCATCTCACGCTACTCCGTACCCCGTATATCGACGGGTGCTTCAGTCAGCCGTTTCAGCGATTTGTCTTGAACAGGGTTTTGGTTTTTGTGATGCTACTGCAATGGAAACGCTTACTGAGATGCTCCAAGCAACTCTGATCGAAGTCTGCCATTCAGCCAAGTCATTTGCTGAACTTGGCGGGCGTACTGAAGCGAGCGCTCCTGATGTCTGTTTGGCAATCGCTGATATCGGCATACGTTTCGAAGGTATGAGAGACTACATGCGACGGCCGGGCAAAATACAAATTGCCTCGCCCGGAATACAAGCCTGCGTAACCACACCGCTTACGCTTCGAGCCGGTGAACGCAAGCCTCTACCAAGTCATATTCCCGATCATTTTCCTCCTTTTCCCGATTCGCATGCATACATCCGGACCTTAACACATCGTCAGCCCGTCACTGAATATGTCGCCATTCGTGAGAAGGTAGCCTCACAAAAACGCGATATTGAACGAGCACTCACACGCTTCGTGGCTAAGACTTCTGGCACTCAGACGCTATTTCCTGATAACCCTACGTTATACCCGCTGATTGCGTGTAAGCCTTCGCCCCAACCGTGGCTGGTTGCTCTTGAACCCAAGGACCAGGTGTTTGAAGATGAAGAAGATGACGAAAAAGAAGAACTAGTCCCAGAACGAGGAGAAAGTGGACAACAGCCCGACAACCCATATCTTCGTGGTGTAAAGATGCCACGCAGAAGATTCTGATCGAAAACAAAGATCAGAGGTGTATAAAGGGTCTTAATTGCCTCACCTTGTATTAAAAGAATGCTTTTCATTAAGAGAAAGGATAACCCCGTAGGTGTACATAATGCCTGAGTGTGCGGATTCAAGTGTAGCTGCTAATGCTGATACCGAAAGGTTACCATAAACCTGTATAAATTGCGCTCTTGTGTAAACTTTGTTATTCTTATTGTGTGCAACGGATCAAAAATACTATTATAAGTAAGTGAAATGAGGATACACAACTGTGTTATAAAAAAATCACAATAAAGTAAATAATATTTAGGTCACCTTGTGTTTATTGTCATATGTTCTGTTTTGTCTATAGCGTACTGATGGCTACCTTACGCTACTATACGTATTTACAACATAGGGCATTTATCATATATAAGGATTAACTACTTGAAGGTGTGAGAAATATACCATTTTGTGGTGGAGCGAATCCTTAATTTTTTGATAATGAAGAGTTAATTTAACTTTTCTTGAATTAAAAATGAAATTTTTCGTTACTATAATCCTCTTTTGGGTGCTCTCTAAAGGTACTATATAAAAATTTAATGATACTGCGCTAATAATAAGCTAAGCCTAGTAGTTGATAAACATTTTGGTTTAAGTAACATATGTATTTCAGTCAGTTTTAAAGCATCTTAAATACAACACGTATAAATCATAATGAAATAGCGGGATACTTAGATATAGCTTTGACACAGAATGCATTTGATGTTTTCTATCAGGTGAAAATAAATAAAACAACATGGAAGCTGACCTGAATAAACTACTTGCGACAAATTTTTCTCCAGCTCAGTTGAGGGCCTCAATAGTTGCTTCGCTCCGCGAAAGCGAGCCCCGGTGTTTAAAGCGATCGACAGAAACGCTCGCTGAGCTGTTAGTCACACTTGGAAAGGATACTAGCCAAGTACCGCCTGGTAATAATTGATTATGATTGCTACTATCCCTAGAGAAAGTTAAAAAAAACATTGTTGACCATTGAATATTGTGATAATTTGTAGATAAGTAAAGAGGAAACAACTACGTCAACGTCCTAATCAATTGTTTTTCAGCATGATACAGTTTGATGAAATATCTTCCATCAAAAAAAGTTTCAAAAATCGGTATTAGTAGAATAGAATCAATTGCTAACAAAACCACATGCTGCCCTTTATCAACATGTAAATGGCGCCATGCAACCGCTGTGATAGGTATGATTAATCATGATAACCTTGTTTTGAATACAGACGAATATTTTGTCACTGACGACGCTGATTCCGTTTATCTACGAAGTATGTCGTATTTTAACAAACGGGAATATGACCGAGCAGCACATTTCGCCAAAGGAAGCGTTCAGCCTAGGACGAGATTTATCTACTTCTACGCGAGGTTTGTTTTTACAAGCCAAAAAAAACTCCTTTCATATCCTAGTAATGGTTGTCTATCTAAAATTTGAAATTATTCATCCCATAAGTCGCCTATCAGTTAGACGTATGGCTAATCGATGCAGAACTTAAACTCATGAACTCTCGGATGCAATAACGAATTGATTTTATCTTATTCTAAGTTCTAAATTTTATTATTATCAACATTCAGAAAGTTATTTATATTTGCCTTAAGTGTTTAACCAAAAGAAAAGTAGCCTAACTTTAACATAGAAATAAAGAAAAGGTTGTTTTCTGTCAAAGTCAAGCAAAATTTGGGCAACTGTCCATGAACTGTTAATCTGTTTTTATCACAAAAGGTATCAATCAGCGGAAACAAAGCGCGTAGATGGACTAGCCGAGGCCGTGAGCAGTTTATCAGAACAGCGCGCTAAGGACCGTCAATTAAAGGCACTTTACTGGGATCTCAAAGACGAACAAAAAGCACTTGACGGGTATGATCAATTGATATCGGAACAAAAAATGCAACCTGATCTCTATCACATATTACAGGGAATATATACGAAATAGATATGTATCTTTGTTAATTTACACTACCTATACCAGACATTTTGTTTTCAAGAAGTAAGAAGGAGAATATGGGCCCTGTCTGCGTTTTCACAGATTACGTTTGCTATTCACTTTTATTCAGCATATACGTCGCGAGTTTATCATTTGGCTTTACTGTTTACCTCATTTAAACCTGTTATATGACACCTGTGTCATGTAACTTTTGTGAAATTAAAGGCGGGGCGTAACCTCTCCCGTCGTTTTCTGTGGTCTGGTTAATTTTTCGGTCTTTGAGCGAATCTTTTTTTCGGTCTTTACAAAAAGCAAGAGTGCTTTAATTTTGCCATCGATATCCCAAGTGTTTAGTTTTGGTCATTTTTTCAGGTACTGTCTTTATTTGTACGGTGTCGTACAAAGACTACTCGGCCTGGAATCGGGTGCCATTGAAACTCTGGAGGCAGCTCTTAGGCTCGAACCGAATCTTTGGGCAGCTTGGGCCGAACTCTCCCTTTTGGTAGCGTCACGAGATCAACTCTTCAAACTAAGTGTTCCTTGCAGCTGGCTGCTTCTCATGTTCACTGGCCTCGCGTTAACAAAGGTGAAAATTACCTTCGTTTATTCGAATGAAAATTAGGTATGGAAGAACTCAACAGAAAATAACCTTTGTTGGAAACCTGTCTTGCACTTCTAAATATGTTTACTCATTGAGCACTGGATACGAATAGAGTTAAAGTACTACAACTGTTTAGTGAACTATTTTTATCGGCATTCCCTGTCTGGCTGTGACATCGCTTTACCTTTACTTACTTGAAGGTCGATTCGTCGGACCCACTCGTGTTAAAAGTTTACCACAAGTTAGACTCGCTGTTTCCGAACTGCCCGTATGTACTCACACGAATTGCCTACGCACAACGTGCATTGTCTTCAACCTCTGTGAGTAATACTTTTTGATCCCATTCATGTAAAAATAGTATATTTTCTCGAATCTATTTTATATACGTTATAGGACCATGCATTATCACAGTGTCTTTGATGTGCCCAAAACTTTTAGAAGTTTCCGCTTGCATTTCTCCGATATAATTTTATAGCTACAATCAATTTGTACGAGGAAACTCAGGTACATATTTTCGATTCGACGAAGCTCCGCATGTAAGAGTCGAAACATTTATATAGGTAATTCATATAGGTATATTTGTTCTATCGAGAAAATTGCTTTCAAGGAAAAGGTGTCGATTGTTTTTTGCGTTTTTTTTTTTCGTATATATCCTCTATGTATTTAGCTCGAAACGGCAAAGCAGTATTACGAAAGAGTTCGCGCTATAGACCCATGCCGGTTAGAAGGTATGGACACTTATTCCGAGCTCTTGTATATTGAGGGCAAGCGGCAGGAGTTAACGAACTTGGCTCAGCAGCTACATGCAGTGGACCCACAGCGCGCTGAGACGTGCGCCGTTATTGGAAATGTATATAGCCTTAGGGAACAGCATGCTCCTGCATTGCTCTATTTCAAAAAGGTAACATAAATATAACCTCTAATGTTAAACTGCTGCTAACTAACTAAATGTGGACTGTTGTTAATTTCAGATACTATAACATGGGTTAGTTGGAAGTGTCTATTTGCGAGCTAAAAGTATGCATTCATTCTTGCTCCGTGAAATATATGAGGTTGGCTCGCAATATTGGTTGAGTAGTGATGTTTCAATTGGCCTGTGCTGAATCGTTTCAACTATCTGGTTATCGATAATCTAATTATAAGATCCTCTAATGACGTCTTTTTAGGCGATGAAAATCAGTATCAATTACGGACCAGCCTGGACACTTATGGGGCATGAATATTCACTGATTAAGAACATCAATGCGGCTATTCAATGTTACCATCAGGCTGTCGAGATAGATAAGTGTGATCATCGGGCATGGTAGGAAATTACAGAACTTTGTGCTTACATTGTTAAGCAGTTTCTGACGACAGTCAATGTTTCTATTCAAGGTTCGGGTGCATTGTGGACGCTATTGTTGTAGAAGTATTATAGTAAGAATAAAGACACATTGTTATTAACATCGTTGTTAAAAGATAAACGTATACAACGGTTGGAGTATATATATATATATGTGGTGATATTTTGGAGATAACGTATCAAAGGTAAACAATGTCTGATTAAGATATGGTTGGCAAAAGATAAAGACAAAGTATCGACATTTCCTTAGTTATCCATTATCTGTTAAAATAAAACGACATTGTTATTTTCATGCATCTTCAGGTGCAGTCTCTCCTTAATGTATGATCAACTGAAGATGCATCATTACGCAGTGTATTACCAAAAGAAAGCACTGAAGCTACAACCACGATGTCCAAAGATGCTCGTAGCCTTGGGCGAACGCCTCGAGAAAGTGGCAAAAATCGATGAAGCAAAATCCCTTTATTGGAAAGCTCATCTACTTGCCCTTGAGAAGCAGACTGCGCACGACAGTCTGGCCCTCTTCAAACTTGGAAAGGTGAGGCGGGCCTCGCTTGTTGTATCCAACACATCCATTTTAACACAGTTATCATATTCGGTTTCAAAAACAATGCTGATAGAAGTGACAACAATCTTGCAGGCTTCTCTATGATGATATGCAGAGTAGCTACACCGTTGGGTGTTTGTAACGGTTTGTTGTACGTTTATTGGAATAAATGCAATACTCAATTTAAACTCTTTTATCGCCCTTTAATTGTTTCAGCTGTTTCAGTCCAGCGGCGAACCTGTCAAGGCCCGGGCGGCCCTAGAAGATTTTATTAAATTGAGTCTTAATGTTAAAGAAATCCCTGATGTTCGGAAAAACGACAGAGAACTTGCCACCGCAACCCTCTACTTATTTGGCTACTACGTGTTTGTATTTTTTTTTTAGAATAGTTTTTCTAGGCAAATCGCTACTAACGCTGTCTGCATATTTTAAGGTAGCTTGCTAATGTTGCACGCTGCTGTGGTAACTGGGCGGGAATTTCATTGCGGCTAGTCGAAAATCCAATTGTCCGTCTTTAGGAATAAAGGGAAGGTCTTCGTACTGTTATATTTTGATTATTTAAAACAATGTAACTCCGCCAATTATTTTACAGAATTTAGTTATACAATATCATTTTAATTGTATAATTATATACTGATTTAATAATATTTAATAATCAAAAGAATGTCTTGTTCGATATATGACGTAGGTAAGAAAAGTGCATGGCCATCTGTCAACCTGACTGATGTGGTAATTGGGTACTATATATTCTTTTTCTTCTAGAGAGCTGGACGTTGTGATTGATTCAATAGTGTTTTTATTGCAGCAACCGTGACCCACCAGAGGCTGCCCGTCTTCTGAACCTGGCAAAGGATTTTCGTTCAGTTCGTGATGCTGATCTCCAACCGCTCCGAGAGAAGCTGCAGCCTTTACCAGGCCCAAGCGGTGAGGAATCTTCTACGCCTCTGAATCCCTCTGTTGTTTTGGTTGATATGACTGACGATTCCGATATTGTTGTTGTTCAGCCTCGATCGGACAGTTAGTTCATCTGTTGATACATTGTATATATATTATATTTTCTCAATAAAAACAAAGGTTCGACTTTTAGTGCTAAATATTTTTATCTAGACACAGTGAAGCGAACTCCGTTCTCAAATAGGCTTTTAAAGAGGTTCAGCTGTTTGGATATTGAGTATATATTCATCACTGAGTTGCTGCCAAACCTTCAGTTGACGGTCAGCTATGAGATGCAACAGGTACCATATGACTGGTTAAATTCATTCTATTTCCACAAGTGCTTCTAGCGCTGCTGGATTCATCATAAGGCACATGTTGGTGCGACAACTGATTGAGCACTCTAAATCAAAATGGTCCAAAGTAGAAAGCACTGTATGTTTGCAGACAGGAGATAATCAGCTGTCAAGAACTTCTCTGAACACCTTATATTTTTATGTTTAAAGTAGAGCGATTAGGGATCGGCAATCAGGACTTTGTTTAAACACTATGTGTTTTTATTTAATATGTAACGATTAAGAAAGATCCATCCCTCGTCTTTCCTCATGCCATTTTGCGTAACCCCATCTCTGTCTGTGCATATGTAGATGTCGACATTGAATAGAAGATATATAGTACAGTAGCGAACATTTTATTTAGCATAATAAAAAATGCATGCGAATCCTAATAAAGACTATATATGTATAATAGATCCGACCCGATCCACTTAGACGCCGTTTGTCATACAGCTATTATACAGGATAAGTAATAATAGCATAAACAAATTTAATAAAGAAGTACAGTGATTGGAAAATCTTGTACAGGCGCTCATATATACACGATAATGGCGTGTTTTTGAAATCTAATACAATATGGACGCCTTTTTGTCTACTTTTTAAATAATATAGTTGATCACTAATCTTGTTAAGTTCGATCTTAGTTTAGTGATTACCTGACAGTTCTATGACTGAATATTTTTTTGTCACTAGAAACCTGTTCCACAGAGTTTTTTTTACTATTTTTTTTGTTAATATTAAGAGCTTGATATTAATCGCTAAAACGTAATAGTCGTAAGAATAAATATTAGATACATTTTTAGCTTTTATTTAGGCCCTGGATGGCAGGCGAAGAGGAAAGAGATAGGATTCCTAGGCACGCAATGAGGAGTGCTAAATAATTTTGTAAGCGAACTTTACTGATTCCTCATATTTCTTTTTCCTTCATTTTATCTTCACGGAAATATAGGCCATACACAGATTACTATATATATACAGGCCATATACAGAGTTACCGCAGATAAAAGCTTGTTTCCCTAACGTATTGCTTAGTTTGCACTCACAAAGCAACGAAAAAATAAGGTTTGGAGTATATTCCTGCTGAATGTTTCAGCGCTATCTGACAAGTTACGCCAAACAATTAAATCTATTAACTGAAGCATTTTGTTTACTCACCGAGCAGAAGTTTCGTAGCGCTGCGATTCTTTTATTCCTGACTCCAGTCGTATTAGGTACATGATCATCAGTACAATACTTTATACGTATTTATTAACAACATTATTATATACATATATACTGTATATATATATATATATATATATATATATATATATATATATATACAACAATATTAACAATACGTATTTATATACGTAAGCCAGTGAGGGGCCTGTCGGGCTATTCGAGAACTAGATATTAGCTAGTCGCTTTTATAGGATTGATTCTATCTTATCAGCTATGAAATATCCGTGTGCTATTTACAAGATTTGGCTTCGAATTAGTCATAGTTTACAATAGCTTTTTAAGGCTTTTAATTCTTCTGCTTTTAAGGAACGGATGCATACGTATAAAAACACTTTGCTAAGAAAGCAAGAAACTTCAGACTTACCTATTTTGCTATTTGAGATTAAAAAAGGCAAGATTAGGTTTATTTTTTGATAAAAGCTTACACACTGTTTAGCGAATAGTGCTGAAGAAAGTTGATGTTTGACATGCATTCTTTTCGTAAAGCGAAGTACAAGATTAAATATACTCGACATTTTCCGTTTCCACTTCTCGTTAATTTATTTTTAGCTCATTCTTTCTAATTATTACTATTATACACAGGCTTATTTTTCATCAGTACATTCCATAAACACCCTCGTTACAATAGCAACTAAAAGTATTCTTATGATGTCACAAGTCGTTAAAGATGAAAAGCCACCGCAATCTCCAAAGCCTTTTTGTTCAGTCTTTTTTCCTCCATCACTTTTCTCACCTAGTTTTCATTAGCGCTTCATTTTTTTGATAAAATCTACGTCTTCAATGCCTGTACGTAGTACAATACATGGCTACGTGTTGTGAGCGTATACATATATATGCGAGGGACAGGCAGTCGTAGCCCATCACCCCCTGTAGTCCTTTCTTACAATATCAGGCCGAAGAACTTAAATAGAGGGCCCAAAACAAAAAATTCAAGGAAAAACAGAGTACTGCATTCCTCCCCAAACACATTGATCTAAGAATCTCCACGTGACAGCTTCGAACCCCTTCGACACGCACCCAGGCATACTTGTAATGGGCATACAACCTCTTACAAAATGCGGAGCTACGAGCCGCTAAAGTTTAGACAAACACACAGACACACATACATATCATTGGTAGGTACAAGAGTGTACGCAGAAACGTTATGAAGCAATCGCTAACACATAGTGAGTAAACAAAGAAAGAGATGAAACCATTCTCGTCCCCCATTTCATGTCAGAACAATGGTGAGATTTACATTCTCACAATGTATAATACCAATACATTTATTTTTATTAAGAATTAGGCAACGCACAAAATTGCTCCAGGAGCGGAGTTGCAGTATAGCAGAACAATGGCAAAAGCACAAAAAAACAATATAGTAGGCGTAACGTTAAGGTGCATTTGTCTTGACGGATAATATATATGTATATTGACTGGTTCGATTGGAATTGGAAGAAATCAAAGTCTGAATATACAACAGACAGCAAAGTGTCCGTCCACAAACACAAAAACCTTATACAACTGATCTTACTTCGCCTTTGATACATACAAATGACCGATTCCGGACATACTGGAACACGCATTCTTCTCCTAAAGGTCGAAGCTGATCACAAGCAAAGAGTATCACACTGCTCTAATGCGCATCCGTTTCGAAAACGAAATCACTCACTGTTTACATCAAACCGAGGAAACCGTTTCTAAGTCGCTACAAAACAGTTCAGCAGTCGTAATGACGCGATAATTAATACCCATACAATGCCACAATGATTGCGATTCTTTCACATTGTATTATTATTTTATATGGCAAAGGTAATCAGGGTTTGTTGATGTATCATTAAGGCCATTTTCTATTAAAAAACAACCAAAGATGTCCAATAAACATGATGACCATGTTTTGTGCAAAAAAATAAACTGCGCGATAGAGCTTGGCAGTTATAGAGAAGGTAATGAGTCAGTGTGATATCGCTGCAGTGCGCGATCGCACCTTGTCAGATTCCGGAAAATCGTAAAAAATGATTTCCAATAGACATATTATTTTAAGAGTTGTGAATCGTTTAGGTTGGCGAGCACTTCATTGGTGTCCTGCCCACAGTTTTCCATAGCGCTTTAGAATGATGGACCGCTACCTCGCTACGAACAACCCATGAAATACGCAGTCCTTTACATAAAGGACTAGTCGTCCGCGCACTTTGCGGCCGAAGGCTGTATGTCTCGTTAGACAACATATGGTGCGGCGAGCCCTTGAACGTTTGCGCCACTCACGTCAACTGCGTCGGCCGGTTAAATTAAATGTATCCAACAAGACAGAAGAAGCCAAGTTGCTGGATCTAATCGCAAGTCGTACCACATATCTAATAACCAGACGACACCCGGTCTGTGTACAGTTCTGCCATACTACGAAGCCGCTCCACTCGACGATGGTCCGCATGCTGGGGATAACTGCGCAGGAAGTTCTTGAGCGACTCAACAAACGACGGTAGGATCCGGAGGAGTAGCTGTTTTGTCACCTCCTCTCGGGCATCCAGTGTCATCATAGCATCTTCTAAGTAATCCAGTTTCAACTGGGTGTGCGTAGAAATGTCAGCAGACAGTTGTTGAATCAATGCCACTAGAACCTGATAGAATACAAAATAATAAAAGAATAATATATTTGTTCAGTTTAGTTATAAAAAAATGTTCATCATAAATTTATAAAATATCCACTTTGCATATTTGCAGTTTAAATTGTAAACTTACGTAACTCTTTTTTTATATCTCGATATTGAATGGTTAGTTAAGTTAATCTATATAGAATGCGTTAGAAACGAAAAACTTCAGCATATTTCTTTTCAAAGGTCTGTCCAGTTTAAGAAATCGTATTTAAAATGTCTATGTTCAGGTGCGTGCTCATTATTTTGGGTACGACTGCTAACCTGTGGTGTGAGAGGACAACGATCCCGTTTAAAAATACTTTTTCGGTCGGCCATGCGCAGCGTCTGGATAAGGACGTCCAGATCACTTACGGAAAGCGCTCGGGAGAACGCTTTCTTTACCTCGCCCTGTGAGAGCAGCAACTTGATCTCGTGCAACACACCAGCATTGCGGTTCGAGTCCATCGAGCTCAGACTCCCCGCAGGGCTGGCCATAAGCGACCTCCGCTCCGCCTGCAGCGCCTTGCCAACCTCCTCGCGCACCACCGTCCGAAGAACTTTTTCCTGCTTCGCCATTTCAGTAGCAACCTGCGTTGTAACAGTTTCACGGCATTGGGCAATGCACTGTTGAATCGACTGCTCCATCGTCTTATTCATATGCTTCACCATTTGACTGATGGCTGAATCTAACGCCGATTCGAGCTGTTTCTTGTTTAGATCGTGTCTCTCCTTGCCTCTGGCCTCGAAATGACCCTCAACTTTGTCAAGCATCTGTTTGAAGCCCACATTCAAGTTGCTGGCGATATCGTGGAAAAGCTTTTGCGAGATGCGTTCAAATGTGGGGCAGATCACCTGATTGACCGCGTCGCGAGTGGTTTGGCGTGCCTCGGTGAGGAATGCGAGCTTGCAATCTTCGCCGATCTTGCCAATTGACGTTTGTAACGCGGGCACGAGCGAGGCTTCCACATCGTTTGTGAGACTGCGAGTCAATTGGTCGCCCAGCTCGCGGGTGATATCCTCCACGTTGATGCTTATCGTACCGAAGCCGTGCGCCGTCAGTTCTTTCTCCGAAGGGGGTAACGGCTCAAACTGCACAGCCTGTTGTGCCTGTTCCTGAAGTTTCTCGCACGCTTTGACGAGGTCGCTAGGCGAGTTCTTCCCTTCAACGCCGCCTTCTGGCGATGTGTTGCCGTTTTCTTCTGATTCTGTTTGCTGCAAAATGTCTGCCACCTCCTTACTTGGTGACGACGCGTCGCTTTCCGAGCGAACGTTGGGAATCATCTTTGGCACGACGCTGTCAAGTAATACCGCCGAATTTAATTTGGTAGCTGTCGTGGTAAGGTCTAACGCCGGCTCGGGATCCTTAAGCGGCCGATAGATAATCTTGCACTGTTGCAATGACTTTGTCGTCAACCAAGTAAGTTCGACAAGAATCCCCTCGAGCTTCTTCGATTCGTCGTCATCGTCACGCTCGAGAATATTCAAGACATGCTCTTCCATCGGCTTATACTTGCAGCGGGAAACAGAGCTGACAGCGAAGCTCACTACAGGAAAAGTCAAATGGAAGTAGGCGATCGAGGCAAATGACGCAGATACTGTTGTTCCATTCTTCACTTCCTTGCGGATCTGGATTATATAGAGGACGTTATTACTAAGGTCGGACAGGATGATATAGTTAGATGATAAGTCCATTCGTGCTTTAAGGCATACCTCACGGCCGAAGCCGTCAAATCGAATCGTTTGTCGACATGTCCAAGAGGCACAATCCCATAGTTTTAATTCGCGATTTTCGTCTGCTCCCGTGACGACATACTCCCAGAAACGGGCATCGGGGTCAATATATTGGTGGTCATCTAGAAAGAAAACGGAACTAATCGGTCCTTGATGCGGCATCCACTCATGGATTGACTGGAGCTGCCGCTTGTCCGGATCTTGTGTCATGTTGAGTTTTATAAATTTGGTTAAACCGGTAGAAGTAGCCACGGCAGCGGTTGTGGCCTCCGGCGCTATAGAACCTTCTGTAATAGCTCCAGGAATATTACCAGTTACCACATCACAACCTACTTTAAAGTCGCCCTCGTCCAGTTTAAAGCTTTGCCCATGGCGGGAAATTATCATATCAATATAATAGAACTCGCAACGGTTCTTATGCGACACCATCAAGAGCTTGGAAAAATTCTCCTGATCGTTTTCTTGAGGGACGTACTCAAAATCATCCGGAATATACTTGCACCAAATGACCCGATTTGGTTCTCCAGTCGTGGCTAAATGTCGATTGACCTGAAATAACGGAAAATAGCTGATGCCTCCATCATCTCCGATCTGATAAACGTATAAGTTCCCAAGGTCGTCTACGACAGCAAGAATGACTTCAGATTTGATGTGTGCGAATGCTAGATCAGCCACCTGGCCTTGAATTCCTTTAATAAGCGCCCGGCAATTCGTCTTAATATTAATGACACGAACACCGCCCACACCCGACGCCATTTTGAGGGTGTATGCAACATAGTCACGGCTGCAATGCTCTGCGATCTGGTTGCCATAGGTGAATCTGAAACCAGATATTCGCTGTTAGATATGAAAGTATGTTATATTTATATAATTCCAGTTACCTCGAAAATAAATTTCTCGACTTTGGATATCTCGGAAACTGTTTTTGCTTTTAAGGGCTACGGATATTCCATAATTAAAAATGAAATACCATTAGTCATAACCGAAATGTAATGCTAGTATCGCTAACTAACATTAATTAACGTATATGTACATAACAGGATGAATCCTATACAAGCCAACAGGAACGTATATATGAAAAATGATAGCATTTTATCCAAGCTTCAGGTCGTTCAAGAATCGTTTCATAGGTTTTAGTGTACAAAACGAGCAGCACTATAAAATCATTGTTTCATAGTCCTGTTCGCACTGAAGATCAAACATGTACAGTAGAACAACGACGGCAGATATCTAGTATATCTACTGTGTGAACGATCTTACATTCCTCTTTTATATTATACGTTGTGACCCATAAGCTAACGCATCGTAAAACACATTTGTTGTAAATATACTCTTACGTACACGCTTTTTCCATACTTAAAATAGTTGCCACCTCGGGATCTCAAAAGACTCATACTTGTATAATTCGCTTAACGTTTGTAAATATTCGCAGTTCATTATGCCCATAGATATTTTAAATTATCATAAAATATATTCTGAGCTTCGGCAACCCTCCAGTCTACATTCAGTAAATCCGGCGCAAACAGCCCAACAGAACCAAACAATATTCTCAATGAATGAACAACGAGTGCCGTCGCTGATTTTGACTATAGCGCCTGTTGTCGCGGACCATTTTTGGCCATATTATAAGGCATACCTACGTAATTAAGCGGTCGTATTATTTCTATTCAAACGGCCACCATTGATTATCATCAATTAGCATCATGTTGTAATAGCATAGATAGCAACTAACTCACTTGTTCTCCCAGCCGAGGTCAACAATATTTCGAATCTTGACCTTGTTGTTCAAGTATTCAGCTTTGTCAACTCGAACATCGATTCGGACATCTTTCTGTCCGAATGGAATCGCCTCGCCTTCGGCCATTCCTCTCAATTCAATTAGCTGTTCCATGGCGTTCAGACTGCCGGCGTTAGCTGCCGTAGCAAACAACTGCTGGAGAAGCGTTACACCAGTCGGTGGCATTTGATCGGAACAGCTTGCCTCTCCGCTTGCCACTGGCAACGGCGGCTGGCCAACCTTTAGCAGGTTCTTTAGTGTTTCTGTCGCTTCGTTAGGATCTAGTCCGTTCATAGCTACGGCGTTTCCTTATTTTTCAACGCTGCTCGGCAAGGATCAAATTGGTAGGCGGTATGATCAGGGCACAATTACCGACTACTACCATTAAATCGTTTCGCCCGCCGAGCGAAGTTGTGCGGCGCGTTGATCCGATAACGCGCCCGCGAAATCGGACTGTTGAACGAATCGCCGCTACAACAGCTCTCGTGATGATTGTACACGATGTCACGTTTTTCGTTATTATATTGGTTACTGAGCTGGGTTGGCATCAAAGACACAAGCACGGGACAGCACGACTTCTTCGCTAAGCACAAGCGCTAGTTACCCGTACTGGTCGTAACACTCTCTGAGTCAAACAACAATACAGAACCATAACAAACAACTCATTTGTGTGGCTGTCGTTGTGTTGAACTAGCTCTGTCTGCTTGCAAACGACAAATTGATCGGCAGCAGATTGGTCCGTGACTTGGTGGTCTTTAAGGTAAAGCTTGGCGTGAGGGGTTCACTACCTGCTACGCGCGCTTTCCAGGACAAGGATCTTATTGCCTTCCTGTTCCTTATAAAATTCAGTTTTGTTCGAATAGTTTTAAATCTTCGCATGTATAAAGTAACCATTGCAATGCACCTTGAATTTAACAATTGTCGCTTTAATAACAAGTGTTGACACTTTGTGAACTCCTGCTGTGAGCAGATTTGCATACCTTGATGTGAATTGGCGAGTTATATTGCAGTTCTTCTTTTTCTTTTTCTTTTTTTTTGATCTGAAATACACTGAATAAAAACTATATGAAGTTGTTTATATTATTTCAGAAATGCTAATATGCACCCATTCATACACAATTGCCAGAGGAGGTTTCATACTAAAAAAATAAGAGTTTGGTCCAACATTCGCTCGCCCTTTTATTCTTGTTCGTTGCCACCAAGTATTGAACGATATTCCTAATAAACACAGAGACAGATTATTGTAACACATAGGAATTGAACGGGCATTATTGTCTGACCGATTTTAACTAAAATGATTCATTGTTCAGCCGGGACTACGTAGTGGGGTCACGTTAATGCACAGGTACTTTGATGTCAGTAATTCCATGCCAAGTTTTGCTCGCCGTCTTTTTTCCGTCGTCGGCGCGGCGACTACTTTCGCTCGACGCAGTGGTGTTGACGTGTCGGCCGCCATTTCCCTACACCTTTACACAAAACACATAAACAATGAGAAAGAACGCTCTATTTAACGTCCTTTCTTGGTGAAACTTGAACGCTGTGTAGCAATAATTATAGAATACTTAGTACAGCTGACAATATTTAGAAGCTCATTTCTGCAAGCGGCTATAACTGTGACAAGAAACGAGTAGACGGCGCACCTGGAAAGGGTGCGTGAGTCAATCGTAACAGAATGTATTCGAAAATAGGCCAGTACATGTGTGTAGGGAGTTTCGCTGGTTACAGCCTAGCGATGTTGCCGTTGCGAAGAAGACGATATATTTAGACAGAGCGATAGCTGACTGACACGGATGAACTCTTATATTTATTAAACTCTTGTCTGAGTGTGCATTCAGTATCAGTGTGAATAATGCTGGTAGTGCTTAATAAGACTTGTTTGCTAACTGTACGGTTAAAAAGGCATAAACAAGGGAAAACTGTCAATATATCAATAACATCCCTTTGAGTGGGCAAACGGCTGACCAATGGCACTCGTCCAAGGTAAACTAGTAAAGCGCAAGGCTAAAAGCATGATCGGTTATCAGTAAGGGTGTTGACAGAAAAGTGACATGACTTTGAGACCACTACGGAGACCGACGGCGATTTTTCTCTTGTTTCCGACAATTGACCTCAGCGAACCGCGAACCGCAGGTAGGCGACAAGAATGCGCTCCCGGAGGACTACAAAGCGAAGGGAAACGTTCAGGTTAGGGGATTAAGAGCATCGACGACATCATAACAACCGGGGTAAGGACATGAGTAGCCCGAAGGGGAACTGAGGGAACTATGAGGGCATAGCCAACAAAGACGCACCTTCAAATATACTGTATTCGTCACGGATGTGTCTTCAGCACCGGTCTACGGGGGATAAGATGAGAATCCCTACCATGCAGCTCACTAGGCGCATGAAAGGCGCAATGCTTGAAAATTCAACAAATAAAGCATCAAGAATTATACCTGATGGTTCAGTCAAAAACAGACTGTGAAAACAGGTAAGTCCGATATTATTTGTCGTTTGTTGTGATTGCATTGAGTACTCGGAAGGTGTTGTGGATTGTGAGGTATTTGTTTAAAAAAAATTACGCAACGATTGATCGGCTATTCATATAATATTGAGTGGAATATTTCCTCATTTTTTGCCCCTCAGGTTTAATAATGTTACGTCGGCTTCTTGAAATTGATAGAGAAGTGTAACACTCAACACCGTGTTACTTGTTGAAAAATCTGGCTGCTAGCGGCATGGTTAGAACAATACGGAGCACCAAGTGAAGATGCACCAAAGGCCAGAGGAAAGACAGTGTTAGTGAGGCTGCTGTACAACGTGTACTTTCTTGCACTCCAAAAACGCAACAAAACGGCGCAAAAGCGTAATAATCAATAATGGAATGATTCCATAATAAATTTTCATGATAGGGGAAATCTAGCGCTTGCGCTGTTTGGCGATCTAACAAATGCGTTCCTGTTCGTTAGATTTCATTCTGTAGAACAGAACGGAAGTCCATTCAGCGGCTTTGGTAAAAACTGCCACCAATAATAACAGCAACGGGAGCCGAACTGTCTCAGTGCAGATCATGCTGATCTGAACGGAAAGTGCTAGGTGGATGCTGTGGACGTAAAGTCAGACATCGCCTATGTTACAGCTGAAATTACCTTTAGCGGGCCCCGAGCTAGATAGGCGCCAACATATGAAATAGCCATGCACAGATATAATAAACAGCACTCCGTGACAGTCATTGGCACTGCTGCACTATTACTACTACGGAAAGATACTCGGACATGTTTTCATACGTCTATGCGTCATGGTGAGTATGCACGAGTAAATGTTCTGACGAATGAGTAAATGTCAAATAGAAGCTATTCAGAAGCGAATTCAGAATGACTACAGCTGTTGTCGTCAACGAAACGTACTTCTGCTTTCGGATGTAGTGGACACTCGGCAACGCGAACGATTGCATAGAACAACGACACTGTTACATCCGCAAAGAGAAGCCTACTTTGGCCGGATAGATAATGACAATGATGCTATTCGTAGGATGCTGAGCAATCAAAGTGTTTCTGTGTCTTCGACCTGCTCGTTAAGACTTCGAGAACCATTTAATTATCTTTATGGGTTTGCCACGTATGTGAAAGATTCGACGATCGACTTGACTTGACTTGATGTATTTCGGGGTTTTTCCCGTTTGCTAATTTCGGCCGTCCGCTGTAAAACCTTTGAATAGTTGAAAAAGTGACTGAAAAATAGTTTGATCCTATTAAGCCAGTATGCTTGAAAATCGGTAGTGCATGGAATACACGCTATTATAACGTATAGTTGTTCAAGGGCTTTGGTGTTTCATAGCTATCTGCCCAGTTGGGACAGCAATAGAGTCTTCCATAACCAGTTTTAAGTATTACATTATAATAGCAATGTATGCATTTGCGACCCATACGTACGCCGTATAAGCCCAGAAGCAGGTATCTAAATATCATTTGGAATTATGACGTGAATTGTATGGAACTCTAGCACTTTGTTTTCGTAGTGGACAGTCATCCTAATTTAGTGGAAATTTTTGTGCGAAATTCATCTAGTGAAATATTCCCTGTGGTTCCAGTGTATAAAAACGGGGTTATTTGATAAAATAGTTACTCAATTTCGGGATAACAAAGGCGTCGTCAAAAGATGATAGTGCTAGCGAAATGCGACGAGTGATAACCGCGTCATATATGGTGTGTTTATTAGTTTAGCTGGATATTTGTAAGAGATTACAGTAAAAAAAACAGAAGCAATAAACAGTCAATTAGAAAATGTATTACAGCGTATTTGTTGGGTGCCACTAAGCCTCGTTAACGACCGGTTTTAAAGGTGCGAAAATTTTTAAAATCAAGCTGATCAGAGAATGATGACGCCACAATTGTTAATAGTACCGCCTGTATTAATACACGATTAAAAACGTTTTTCTCACCGTTGCTCTGCGCTTGAGTTAGACTTTATCCTTCCCGAATCATTAATTCTATGTCCTGATGGCTATTCGCGGCCCCATTCTTTGGCAGTATTAGTTGGCCTTTTACCGGATGTCGACATATTTCCAATGTTACCTGGGTTAATAAATTCATTCACCTCATTATGTGCGACCTAAAGAAAAGAAGCATGTGTTATATCCAGCGTTTCTAATGTGGAATCATTTGGATTTGCGGCAGTTTTGTAGTTTGTGGAAATTCATTTTTCAGCTCAGATCGAAAATAAATTCCTTGGGGCAAATTTTTTTTCGAGTGGGGCTACTTTGTGCAACTTCTCTTGTTTGTAAATCATAGTGATCTCGTTGAAGTACCGAAACACATTCGCATCTTACTATAGATCAGAGGTTAACATTTTTGGTATATCTCAATAAAGGGGCCCGTAAAAATAAAACGGTAGAGATAAATCTTTTCCTCGGATTCAAGTTGCTTATGGACGGATGCCTCATAGACGAAAATCAAAAATGAACTTCGCTTTCAAATGGACAAGCCATACATTGCTCAAAAGCATTGCACAATTGGAAAATGCTAGCTCGAGCTAAGGTACCTGTTAACTCCACTACTGGAGACTTCGAGGACTCGTTTAGTCACTCGTATTTCAACGATTCGCAGCTACAGCTGCCACCAGATAACTTAAGATCGATCTCAACCAGATGCTAGCGCTTTTTAGTAGCTCTAGAAAGTACAGGATTAGATGGTACGATTGCCATCTCTGCTGTGCGACGCACGATTGCCCGACACTTGAAAGGTGTAGGTAATCAAAATGGAGTTAGATTGGTTTAAAGACTTTATCAATCAGCGTGCCTAATCCATATTACTCCTTAAGCGAAGAGTGACAATTGCGTACGAAACACAAGAAAATTACGATGAATCATTTGGATTAAGTAGCAGTTATCTACAGTTGTTCATGTTAATTAAAGAGTCAGACTACTTAGTGGATAGTGGCCTGTGCGGAATAACATTGACTTTTCGGAGCCCAGCCCAGCCCAGCCCAGCCCCGCACTCATCTACACACTGTTCTACTTGGCCTGATCATGCGTAAACAGCATTAGTGTAACAGTTTAAAAAAAAACAAACAAACAAACCTACGGTTATTGATGTTCGTTGTATGAAGCTATTATATCCTTTCGAACCCATCTAAAAAACAACAATTAGAGTGATTTCATCGAAAAGTAAGCAAATTCGGTCATTTTGTTGCATTTGCGTGAGGTAAGCGACCAACTACGTGGGAGAAAAAAAAGTTGGTATTGTATTTTCGTGTCTGTTAAGCAGTGTCGGGAAACACAATGTTGCCATATGCTGTGTTAGGTCGTGAGTTTCTTTTGTGTACGACAGTTTTCTTGTGTATCTTATGTTTCTTAGTCGAGAAGTTCCTTATATATATTCGTACGCCGACGATGCAGTGGATGGTCCTTTATTGTCCATTACTAGGATAACGCAAACACTATCGTTCAGACAAAAAATAGGGTGACGAAGCTTACTTTATACCGAGTGGTTTAGCCTTTTAAAGCATGAGGTCGTATTTTACCGCTAATCTACGACGATGTACAGCGTGCTAAGAAGAGTCTTCCTTTAAAGATAAAGCTTAACTCAGCTTAACGCTTGCTAGATTTCTGCGATTACCTCCAATGAGTGCGCCTTTTAAAAGTACCTAATTTTGCAAAAATGACGTATACCATAGTTACTTGGGTAGACTTGTTCAAGGTCTCCAGCATGTTGTTAGATTGTTATGTTGGCTTCAGTAATCTCAGCACCCAGTTAAAACCGGCCTTGTGTCACATTCTATAGGCCCAAGTAAAGCCGACGTGTCGGATTAGCTTAGTTAAGATGGAAAATAGAAGCTCGTAAGCTGCGTGATTCATTCTGTTTTCTATATCAATGAAAGCATTGTCTTTGCCTTGTTACTTTATTATGCGTATTATTATTTTTGCGATTGCGGCCAGTAAGAACTTATGTTTTGCAATAACTTACAGAGATTCAATTTCTCATTTAAGATTATTGTCTAGTTTTCTATTGATGTCTATCTATTGATATCTATTATCTATCTGTTGATGTGGAACAGACAGATATTCACTACGATCGATCATTTGTTTCATACTGATTGTTTCCTTCCGTATTGGTCGCGTGATCACGTGACTGAATGTATTCGTATCGCAGAAGGTGTTCATAGATATTATTTTAATTGACTATGTTACATGTAGTGCTTCTACAACTTGGAGTTAATGCGTTAGAAACATTCCTATTGTTGCTACAGTAACAAAGTAATAATCTTTTAGACCCTATCGCCACTTGCAACATGTAATAATATTTTTCCCACTTATGTTTGGACGGGATATATTATCTCTCAGCTTCGTCTTCCATTCGCCAAGCGATGGGCCAAGCTACGTATACCATCTATAGATTTTTCAATGTATCAGTCTGTGACGATAAACGTGACGGGTTTTTACTCTTTATTGTACTTCAATCTACAGGAGGTAAGAATGAGGATCAATGGGGACACAGACGATGAGGTTGATGTTCACATTGAGTCGCGGACGCCGATTTTAGAACACACCAACTCGATACAACAATTTTCCTTTCTCACGGTGCGCCATAAGGCGGCTTATGCTGTGGGGCACGTCCTCAACGACCTCTGTGCCTCTATGTGGTTCACGTACCTTTTACTTTACTTTAACTACGTTAGGGTGAGTTTAGTGAATTTGTTGATAATTTTCGTGATTATCAATAAAGCTCTTATTTTAAAGGTTATAAACGAGAATTTCTATTAGGAATACGTTTTGGATGCTCTTGACGCTTATGCCCGTGGCAATTTTTTTCGTTCGTTCAAAGTAAGTTAATGTTAATTCTAAATAACCCCTGAATGGATCCACAATATGGTCGTATAAGTTGTTCTAAGTAAAGTTAGTTTAGATTAAGGGAGAACGTTGATTTTCGGACCATTTGCTTCGTTAGGAATTCGGTCCTACATTTGCAGGTGAATTACTTTTGGTGGGCCAAGTCGCTGACGGTCTTGCAACACCGTTTGTTGGACTTGAATCGGATCGCGATGACGGGCTGTGGCTGTGTGTAAAGTACGGCCGTCGGAAAACCTGGCATCTCGTTGGTTAGTAGGTCCGCTCTTAAGTTACTAATCCAAAGTTTAGTTTCGGATTCCATTTAGTCGAGGTTACGTTTTAGAAGTAAGTTACAGCTAACTTATAGCGACAAAACTATGACAATTAGCGAGTGCGGAAGTCCAACTGTAAATAGTCAGATACTTTCCTTGCAACCGTTATTACTACTGTGAAGCGATAGTCATTACGATATAGTTGTATAGCTCTCCAGTAGGTAGCCTACGTTACACACATTATATAGGATGTCTCTTTCTTATTTTCAGTGACGTCAGTGCATAAAAGTAGTGCTAACATATATTATGTATTTGTCGCGCTTCCATTTCAGGTACAGTGGCCGTGATCTGTACGTTTCCGTTTTTGTTCGCAGAATGTTTGTGGTGCGGAAGCGCCGACCCATGGGCGCAATTTCTATATTACGCGGTGCTCATCATTGTTTTCCAGTTCGGATGGGCATCTACCCAAGTGTCCCATCTAAGCTTAATTCCCGATCTCACCCCGTTCACCCACGAACGCGTTTCTCTCAATGCAGTCAGGTAAGTATTGCTTCGCAAAGTAAAATATATATTTATATTCAAACATACAAGCCAAAAACTGTTACTTCATGTTGCATTTTGGGTTTTAGGTATGCGTTCACAGTAACTGCAAACATCATCGTGTATTCCATCACTTTGGTAGTTCTTCATATTCAAAACGGTGCCGGTACCGAACAGCTCGGACCAGGTGATGCAGGCTCATTTCAGGTAAATATTAAAGCTAAAAATGTTTTGTTGACGATTACTAGCAGAATGCAGTTCTTCATTCTGTTTATGAACAAGTTCTTTCTTGCGTTTATCTTGATCACCGTTAGGGAAAATCTGAGTAAACGCGCGCATATACGGTTTGTAATCGAGTTGCGTTATTTTTAGCTTAGGGGTTTGATTCGTCTGCCTCAAAAAATATTAAAAGAATCCCTACATTCGACAGTATAATGATTCATGCTACACATATATAGTGTTTCGCACGTGCTTTAGTAGATACCCAAATCACCTAACAGCATACCATTACCATCAATATTTGAATAACTTGTTCCGAATAAACTATTTCAAGGTGGTTATGAATCTATCAACGGTAAACCGTAAATTTACTAGACTTGAAATCTATTCGGCAGCGCCTTGATGAGCAGGGCAGCCTTGAGAAAAACAATCTAGTCATTCGCTTGTTATCTGTTTCCGATTCATGACAATTCTAGCTAATTGTTCTCACCGTCGTGGGCGTTGGGACCATTTTCTCAATTGCCTTTCACGTATTTGTTCCCGACCCCACGCGAACGGCAGCACCGCTTACTGGGTCTGCTGGCAGAGATCGCATAGGCAACGATGCGGCTTCAGACATTAGCGGGTTCACAGTCGAGCGTTCACTGCATCTCAGCTGGAAGGAATGGTTTATGGAGAGCCAATTTTATATCGTAAGTGTCGAAATGCTGTTTCCGCTTCGAAAAACACAGTACTCTAGGTATACAAGCACTCGACCATCGTTTTCGCTATGCACAACCTAAGAAAGCTCATCACAGAGTAGATACAAGAAATTATTCTTAGACTTGAAAAATTTTAAATGTCTCAGTGTGAAAATGCACGTTTGCGATTATTGAGCTTCCAATTACCCGCTTTTGTAAGACTTTTTATAATCGATATGTCACCAAATGAAATGCTACATGGGTTTTGGTCGTCTGACTATAAAATTTTTCCTATTAATTAACAAAACTTTATGGTGCTTACGCAGAAGATATAAACACAAACACAAAAAGAAAAAGGTTATCACGTATTTAACCATTTATAATCACTAGAACTTTCGAACGAGTCACTTTCAATATGATGTAACTGAATCAGTACAATAAACTTCTTCAATTCATTTTCTAAGAAGTAAATAGTCCGACGGAATCAGTGAAACCTAAAATATACAAATCTGACATCAGTATTTTGCAGCGTTCGTTCGTGCGACAACAAAAAACTATTATAAAATGGTCGGTTACTTTGTTGATTTAGATCGGCCTGCTGTACATGGCAACCCGCTTGTATGTAAATATGTCACAAGTTTTCATTGGACTTTACCTTCAAGAAGCACGACAGTTGCCTAAGGTAAGTAACGTAGTTTACTTGAATAGCAATTTCCCAGAGATTAGTACTCTCTCAATAATCTTATCGCAATGATACATTAAAGGTGATATATATCAAATTGAATCAGTAGAACTCAGTATTTATTTCTATCAGCAGATATAGCTTTGAATGATATGGTTATAATCAAGTATGCCAGCTTTTCAACGAACATAACCTTTAATACAAAAAGGG